GGAGTAAGAGCACTTAGTGCTTGGGCAGGGTTCAGGGGTTCTCAAGGTTCTAGTACTAGTAATTTTTCACAACTAAATGAGCTTGAAGTTTATTTGTCACAGGGAATTGAGGAAGTGAATCCCAACGGCTCCTTTAATATTTTGGAATGGTGGAAGGACAAAGAAAAATACTTTTCGATTCTTTCAAGGATGGCCCGGGATATTTTAACTATTCAAACTTCAACAGTGGCATCAGAGGGCGCTTTCAGTCAAGGAAGATTTCAACTCGGTGATTATAAAGCGTCTATGAGGGAGAGCTTGGAAAAATCAGTACTTTTCAGAGATTGGATCCGTTCGGAAAGAAGAAATTTTAGACTTGCTGAATCAAAACCAGAGGTAGACGAAGCTTACGAAGAAATGCTAGCTGAACTTGCGGAGGATGCTGCTTCGCCCGGAAGCGGTGATGACTAAGCTTCTTTTCCGCCACCACCAACGAAAATTCCTTCGGACCTTGAAGGATTTATAAAATTTGTAAGAGATACCATGTAACTTATATGAACAAAAATTAATATGTAGCTTGTATTTTGGCACATCTTGATTAGTGTCTTTTTCTTCTCAATGGTGGTATTAGCACCTTGTTGTGCTCATTCCATAGGGGGGAGGAAGACTAAGAAAGATATTGCCATATTTTTTTAATGCTATAATAAAATTATAACGCATTGCTTTGAATATCTCTTTAAAATATTTTTGTCTTTAAATTTGAATTAAAAAATTTAGGTCACAATTCTATAATATAATTTACAAGAAATTGCCTTAGATATTGTTATTACAATTTTTTCTCTAACTTCTATAAAAATAAAAAATAAAAAATAGAAAATATCCATGGGGCCCACTTAGGCCCGAGATCGGCCCACTTAACCCGGGACCGTTAGTTCGTGGTCCCGGTCCCTGGCCGGTTCCAACATGAAGCCCGCGAAGCCTGGGACCACTTAGGACCGGGCCCACAAAGCCCACTTAGGACTGGGCCCACAAAGCCCACTTAGGACCGGGCCCCGCTCACATGCCACCCTTACGTGGTGCTATGTCAGATTCAGGTGTTCACGCGATATAAAGTGTCTATATGGTCATCTGGTAAGTTGGAGTGTGAGATACATCTGGGGCCAACTTTAGGTGTCTCTTTATGTATTTTGCCTTCTTTTTAAAGGCAGCATCATCTTCCGCTCCATCACCTCCGATTTTCACCGGTTCCCAAACATCATAGGCACCAAGCAGCCTTCATCCCGATACACCAATTTCCATAGTTCTCTTTTGTGAGCATAGGAACTTGAAATGAAGTTCCACTACTATTTATCATTTTCTCTCCAAGTTTGGTTGTCTCTCAAATATATCGGCTATAATATCACAATGTTAGAAAATTTGGGATATCAAGACAATACAAAAGAACACTCAAAACTCACAAAGAAGAAAGTGGAGGAAATGATGATTTCTATTCAACTTGACTTGCTTCAAATGGCTAGGAATACATGATTATTTATAGGAAAAAACTTTCATGTATCGAGCATACACTACATGTAAACATAATAACTAAGTCTACATCTCACATCTTTCAAGGTACATGGATGACACTACTAGACATTGTATCTTCCAAATTATATCAATGTGTTCATACTCTAATACATGTACTAAATTAATATTCTAGCTCATGAACTAATGTAGACAAATATAAATAAATATAAAACAAATTTATTATTTTCATATTTCAACAAATTATACTGACCATTCTCCCAATATGCTCCTAGTTTTATTTATAAACTTTTTGATTATTGATTCAGTCAAATAAAAGTCTTTGTTTGAGTACAACAAAAGTTATACAAATAACTATGGCTTATTTTAGACTATAAGCTTTTAGCTTTTCTTCACTTCTTAAACTCCATACTATCACACAAATTGGAACGGTGGAGTACGAAATAATCAAATGAATACTATGTTCAGGCAAGAGGGGAAAATGCAGATATTCGATTAAAAGAACTGAAATAGATTCATTTTTGCTGGAAGAAAACTATGATGCAGAAATTGACACAGAATAAAGCTACAATATTTACACAAAATTTAGTTAGTTTGGACCCCAACAGCTCAAATACATTACAGTTCTCAGCGACTCCTCTGCTAGTTTTCGCCTGTTATTAGCACTGCCCGCGTTCCCTTCGTTAGCTCCTTCTGCAAAATCTCCTTTTCCCTTTTTGTGTGACGAATCAGTAGAGTACTCACGTTTCTGGAACCTATCTTTGACTTCTGTAATTGCTTCTTGTGCTAATGTTTGCTGTAGTAGGACTTTGCTCATGTTTCTTACTATATTAAGAAATTGCAAGTTTCTAATTCTGATGTGGAGAGTTGTTTTGAGAAGATATGGATATACAAATATAGATGTTGTATAAAGGAGTCAGTGAAGCATTATATATGCAACTGCAGCAGATATTTGATGAAGGGGAGCTTTGGAGTAACGGTAAAGTTATCTCCGTGATAGGTCACAAGTTTAAACCGTGAAAGTAGTCATTAACTCTTGTATTAGGGTAAGTTGTTTACATCATACTCCTTAGAGTGCGACCCGATGCTTAATTTGTACATTAGGCTATTTTTGTTTTTTGGCAGCAAATACCGTTATCTCCATGTGACTTATAAGTTCAAATTGTGAAAAGCAGTCATTAATCTTTGCATTATGATAGACGGTCTACATCACATTCCTTGGAGTGCAGTCCAATTCTTCGAATCCTGCATGAATACGAGATGATTTGCCCACTTCTTCTTTTTTTCCGGAATATTTGATGATACAAATATACAAAGTGAAAAGCAGTATGTGCATGCGCTTGAGTATTTTTTTTTATGCTACCAAATTAATTTATTATTGACAGTTACCCCTTTATAGTATGTTTAGGACGTAAAAATATCTGACACTCCGTGCTTAGCCGTTAAACTCAACATTAATATTCTCTCTGGGAGGACAGTGGAAGGCTTGCAGCTTGTCAGAAGATTCGGAGTTATCACTAGCCAAGAAATTTATATGCATTTGTATATCCTATCTCAGAGTCCCTAGGTTTTGAAAATTTAGTAATTTTACATATAAATTCATGTTGCTTCTTAGTTATTTTCTATATCTCAATTTATTTATTTTTTCTGTCTGTTCTGAAAAGAATATTTATTTTTTATTATAAATAATTTAATTTTAAAATTTTTATTTTACTCAAGATGATTTAAAGCGAAACAAAAGTCTACCGACATATTTTAAGCCATAAGTTTGTCAAGCTTTCTTTTTTAAATTCCATGATCAATCAAATACGGTACATTTTAAAACAAAGAAATGTACATTTTAGAATGAAGATTATCCAAGAACTGCATTGTCCCCATGTCGTCTCCACAGGTATTGGAGGATATTAGCACGTGAAACCTTTTTATAAGCTGGTTTTATATTACAACGGTGGTACTTCATTAGGGTGTACAAGGGATAAGATGAACACATAGACATGTCACGAGATTCGAGAATATCTATGTTTGCAAGTGGCTGCTTCTTTTCTTTTTCTGTGCTTATAAAGAATTTGCATAAAAAGGGACTTGCAAGTTGGAATATAAATCAATTCTAAATCTAATTTAATCGGGCTCTAATATGAATATCGTATATTAAGTGAAAAATAAAAAAAATATACAGTCTATCCATGTCGATAATGTCATCGTTTTACCTATAGTCTGACCGATTTTGTAAATTACACTAACTCCCGACAGTTGCCAACTACCCTTAATTAGGATTGAAATGCCCTCGATCGATTCCTAAGATTTGCCTACTTAGTGTGGTAGTAGTATTATTTTCTTCTCCGAAAACAGCAGAATTCAATTCCCCACCTTGTGATCCCCTCGCCCATTTTCCTTTGAAAAAAAAAAAAACCCTCTATTTTGTTCTGCACCACAGTTGCGTAGGGCTGCACCCTATTTCTATTGCTTGTGAAGCAGAAGCAACAGTAACTTAGGGGAACACTCAGAAAAACATAGTAAGCACAAAATTTGGATTGGTATAAATCTGGACTGTGGTGAGTGGCTAAAAAAATAGAAAATGCACAGATAGATAAAATGTGATTTTTCTGAAATTTCAAGTGACAGAAAATGCAAGTTTAAAAACCAAGAATTTAGGCTCAAACATTTGCCTATAAAAGGTTTACTGTTCATAAATAGAGAGAGGCCTTCAAGGTTCTCCAGTATCATATACCGAGTAATTCAACTAACACATTTACACTAAAATTTACCAGGAAATTCCCTATGCAGATACTGAAATGTCAATGTCATTATATCGCACACGAACCATCATTTTTCATCTACTACACCACAAACTTAATATGGAGGTTGTGGTAGAAGCAAACTTTGAACGACGAGAGATAACAGAATCAACTGAGATGAGAAATGTCAACTTCATCAGGAATTTTGAATGTGTCTGCTGCCCCAAACTTCCTCTGCTCTTCCACCACCGAATCCTCTTCACCACTATCCCCGTCATCACCATCATGATTGACGTGGTTTGAAGGGTCGTGCGTACTTTTGGATCTGCAACCATGGGTTGCAAGCATCTTAACCTGGCCAAGATGAGCGATTTCTACCACAACGGTGTCATCATCTACAGGGAGGGGTTGCTTCCATGGTTCCCCATCAATCCTCATGAATGTGTGGTCAGCTGCGCCCTTATGGAACTCAAACCGAATTCTATGTGCCTACAAACAGGGTAATTGAACAAAAAATTCAAATGATATAGTTGCACGTCTTGGGAAGTTCTATGGATCTTATATTCAATCAGTTCAGCTTTTTCATCCTAGTACGATATTCAATTAGTTCAACCTTTTCATCCTAGTACGTATTGATCTTATATTTAATCAGTTGTAAGGATCTTATATGCAATATGGAATTTAACATGTGGACCACCTTGCACCAACTGACGATTGATCACTGAATAATAACACCTGATTGCTACATATGATTATGGTATGTCCATAAGCACTTATATTAATAAGAACAAATTAATATCCCAAACCTGTGCAAGCCGCGTCCCATGCCCATTTGGAGCAAGAAGAACCATTCCATGCCAAGCATCTCTAAAGCCCACAACTTCAAGATGGCCATCATCAACAAATGGTGGAGTCAAGTCCCTCTGTCCATTACAATGATTAGCACATGAACATGAATATAAACTTGAGCAGGAAAAAGGTGAAATAGATAAAGTTTTTAAGACGGAAATCTATTGATATCATCACACACGCACATACAAAAATCTCAGACATGTGAACACACAAAGAAAACAGAAAAAAAATGGTAGATGGCGGAAGAAGCAATCGAGTACATACATCTCGACGCTTGTTACTATTTGGTGTTCCCCAAGGATTCAGTCCACCAGAAAAGCTAGGCAGGTTTAGGCAAACAATTGACCTGATACTGCAAGTACAATCGGACAAGAAAACTGTTTATAACTCAAACGTTGTCGTGTTTAGCAATCAATTTGCAAAATCTAGAGATAGACGCAACAGTGCAGCCTGAATTATAATATAGGAGAAAGCCAGAATCTTTTATTTGAATAGAGACACAAAAAAGAGACTATCTGGTGCTCCTCTAAATTTCCTACATTACAACAAATAATAGATGCACCTGTGAGGGATGTGAAGGTCCTGCCATTCACCTTGCTTTTTCATTATCTTAACCTTGGCCAGTTGAGCTATGTTCCTGCAGCAAATGCAAAACCGTATATTCTCATAACATATCCATCAAAGAGGTGATGGTAAAGATAATGAATTCTATCAATATTTACTTGACCATTGTTCTTTCCTATTGATATTTTCAAAAGCATGATCACTCTCCTATTTGCATACATTATCGGCAGAAGTTATGCACAAATCAGGAAATCCCTGATAGCTGCGCAATTTGAAGTTTTTCCTTTCTATATCTCATTGTAAGTTGTCCTGTTGCTGGGCATGGGTACGTAAGCAAGAATTCACAATTTACTGCATTTACTTAAGCAAGGTTACACAAACTACTGCAATTAAATATAACTGACTGCTAGTTATAATGTTAAAAAACTTGTACAGTGTTTAGAAGAGTGGTTCTTTTAAGAAAGTGGACATAATTTTATGACATACTAAAAAAGAAAGTAGAAACTGAATGGAACAAATCCCTACAAATGAAATAGGGATTGAAAGAGTAAATATTCGCCCACGAAAACTTTTTTTTATTGCAAAATTTAGGACAATACAATAAAGGGAGGATCTGACCCATAGCAGTTACTGAGTTCTTCACAGATTATGGGTTTTCATGTTTCCAGTTATAAGTTAAGGGAAAATACACGAGTATTTAAAGTTAGCATAAAAGGAGAAGGCACCATGCAATAATGGGATATATATTAAAAGCTGAGTAGGAATAAATTTCTGAAAGTTAAGTTGGGTGTTCAATCCTACAAAAATGCACAAAACATTTTTGACTATTTGATAGAGTTATGATATTTGACCCAGCCACCACCATTATTAAATAAAAAAAATATACATATAACGAAGTCTTCTTGGTTATCTGAGGAGAGTTAACTAAATTGATCGTATCTAGCTAATTAATTTCCTTAGGTACTCGAAATGGCAGAGATTCAATTACAAGTATTCAAATTTTCAGAAAAAAAGGGATCTACAAGAAGTTATGTATTAAAATACACTGCAGATTCACCTTGAAGAAGGATGAAAAAGGGACGCAAAAAACCATCCTTGTGTACATCCAAGCCTTGCATATGTACTCTAAGGAGAAAGCCAGAAAAACCATAAGGCAAACTTCCACAAGTGATACCTAATGTAGAAGAATAGGAAATGCATGTTCACGATGTAATACAGGGTTATATAAGCAAAGAGTAAAGCAGGAGACCAAAGGCTTTTAATCTCGGAGAATGCTAAACCACTACCTCAAGCAAAAAAAGCACAACAACTTCATTTAAGCATGAACACCGACACAAGAGAATCAATTACATTTACTTATAAATATTAAGCTGAACAGATATCCATTTTCTGTTAGTACACAATGTCATAGCAACAATATTGTCAATGTTCTTTAGCAATTTTAAATTGGCCCATATAGCTAAACTGTGTTAACAAACTTACATCATTTAGTACTATTCTATTTGCAATTTATTATGCTTTGCTTTTTCGTTTTGGATAAAGAAGAAAATGTTATGAAAATAGTGAGTGAAAAGTAAAAAGGGAGAATGTCCTTAATTACATAACAGATAATGCAGTTTAAATACTGCTGGTTGATTGATATATATATTTAATGATATTAATGGTCATATACACAATCAAGAATGGTCATATACACAATGACAATTAACAGAACAAAAATCCGTCGATATGCAAATCAACACTAATCCAAAATGGCATCATCTTAAAATGATCCTGCCTTGAGGTAGCAATACTAAATTATTCACAAACTAGAATGAAGTGGAGAATATACCTCCCCACCAGAATATTTTTGGTCAGGCAATCAATTAAATGCACTTTCCATTTCTTCACGTGTACAAACTAACTTTCAAGAAAATGATCCCTCTATCGTATGCCAATTATTTCTATAGAATTATCATGCATATTCTTCACGACTAGAAGCCAAGTCCCTCGAGATCCTAACAATGACTCATGACATTGATTCATGAGGATTGCTAGAAACAAGTTTCTCCTAAGACAAAGATGGATCACAGGTTAATGAAAATAACACAACAAGTAACATGAACAGAAACGGATGGAAAACAGTCCCCATTAGTGTAATAGATCTTAGAAGCAAAATGTATAGCCCAACTATGAAACAAAATGACATACCACTAGGAAGCAAAAGCTCCATAACTTTGAATCTTCTCATAGATATCTCTAGTAATCGCACACCAATTTCCCTCTCAAACTTGAATCCAAAATAAACTAGGAAAAACCTTCTTAAACAGTTCCTAACATCCTCCTTTTATTCCAATCACCTAATCCTCTAATGACCTAGCTTAGGATAATGAGAGCTTCTCTTTTGCATTCTTCTCTAGTCCATTTTAAGCTAAATTTTAAACTGTCTTCGGACTCAACAAGGGAGATATAAAGCATGAGGCCCGATCTCTCCGTATCTTAATAAGCTGACATCCATAACAAAATTAAAATTCTGAAAACCTTTTTCTTTCACCCCATGTCTGAAAAATGAAGATGCAGATTAGCCCTTCCCAGAGATTGAAGATGGGCAAGAACCATTGCATCTTCACCTATAGGTTTTGTGAGCTCAGTTAATTGCTAACCTTCACAATAATTTTGCTTTTTCTACTTTTTCGGGTAGCACAAAACTCAAACCTATTGAGTATATGAAAACTAGAATCTTTCGCAATAAAGAGGCGTTACTGCGAAAGGACACACATGATCAGACAATATATGAAAATGGAGCCAAGTCATATTAATTCCTCACATTAAAGAACAAATATATGAAAATGGAGCCAAGTCTTAATCCTGACGTTCACTTCAATACCTGATTGATAAGCTGGTTTTTGAATTTTTCTGGATGCATCTTTCTTTCTGAATGAAATGCATATGATACTTGTGCATCCATCCCTGATGACACAGAATTTAATATTAGATGTAGTACCAGATAAACAATAGTGCAAGTAGCATAGTACCTTCAAACTACACTTGGCTTTCAGTTTTTGGCTTGAGAGATAACTCGTAGCCACCTTATTTGTCAACTACAATACTAGGTTTATTTTGCATCTAAATAGATGTTGTTATTCACTAAAATCATTGGCCAATGCAGGCTTTCTGGGTCGCATTACCGCTGACTTATTCCAAAAATTCATCAATGATCAATAGCTCCTTTTCAGTTTTATAATACAAAGAACTTCCTTTCTGGTTTCAAAATTTACATTAGAATTAATTGAGAACAAAACCATCCTAAAAGTACAGAGGTTATTCAAGTCATGACACAAGAATTGGTATTTAGAATGCTCACCTACCAATTATAGCTCATAACTCACGAAAATTTAATATTTGGCTAATAAATTGGAGTTCTTATGAAATGAAATACTAAAAAGGAAAGGTTGGTGGGTTTCTTAATTAGCAGGAATGCACCTTGAATTTTGACAGTTAGATAGGAGGTCAATGTAAGAAGGGAAATTTATTTGGCCTTAAAAATAGGTGCAGTGGTGGTACTCACTTTCACATTGGTATAAGTGAGTTAAAATTGATCTGCACTGGTAACATTTACTCAAAAGATTATACATATAAAAGGGGGAAAATTAAAGTTTAAATTGTAGCAAGCTTAAATGTGGAAAAGAATTCATTTCTTCACTAGTTAAGACAGTTTTCTGTTTTCTGTTTATCATATATTTATGATTAACCACAAGATAGTATAACACTATTTTGCAAACTGCTTGTCTCAAAAAGGTAGCATAAATAATTCCAACCTCATGTAAGATTCCTATTTGATCTTACCAAATATGGCAGGAAAAAAATGAAAATTTTGGATGGCTTTCAAGAATGTATTTCACAATCAGGAGAATATGCCTTACCCATGCTGAAATAATTCCAGAATCCTCCACGAAATGTATGGTATCCTTCCTGTGGGATATTAAATAGTTTGATAATAGTTAAAAGAAAAAAAAAGAAAAAAAAAAGAGAAAAAGAGGAGTTTATCCTCTTCATTTCAACAAAGGTAAGGCTTTGTACCAGACAAGAAATGAAATGAGTCTCAAAACCCACGAATTACACATGCATGTGTCACCTAGTTATTTAATCAATTTAGAATTTGAGTAGGAATATCACAGTGGAAATACATACCAAGCCTGAAGCTGCACCTCATCGGTGCAAGTAAATGCATACAAACCCACTTGGAAAATTATTAAGTGTATTGAATGTGGAAGCAGTATACTTATAATAGATTCAGGTTCCTATGTGTTGTAGTCTTTCAATTTGCATTATAATCAGTGGTAAATTTGCGCCTTCTTTTCTAGTGAAGATTATATAGAGTATTTCAATTAAATGATTTACATTCAAAAAGGAAATAGGTCAATAATTAGCACACTGCAAGCCATTGTAATATATGAATATCCCAATCCAACCACATCCTCTTTTCCAAATGAAGATGCCTTTACCTTTACTATAGAAAAGGAAAAGAGCGAAAACAAAAGAATGGCTTAAGATAATATCACAATTTGATTTATGGAGAAGGAGCTCCATATCATCATAACCAGGTTTTCATACAGTCAAGGGTCACAAAGAACGTGACACCAAAAAGAGAAGTACACTGTGACAGGGACCTTAGCCACACATGATAGATGGAGCTAGACTAGTATGATTCTGTAATTTGTTCATGTTAGAAAACAGAAGTTCCATTATATATAGCTCTTACCACATTAAGATCGTCAGATGAAGACACCCGGTGAAACGCATGCAACGAATGAGGCAATTCAAGTGGTGCAATAGGATCACAAGAACCCTCTTTTGGTGCTCTCATCCTCATTAGAATGTGCCAACTGCTTTAACAGAAAATCTTTCAATATTTGCTGATTGCTCTCAATCAGTGTCATCAATTAAACTATAAATCACATATGTTCTGAATACAGTATAAAATAAGACCAATCATCAAACCTTAATAAGAATATCCAATAGAGCAGTACTAGAACTACCACATAACTACTTTTTGATAGAGCAGAACTTCCATAGAACTTAAAAAGTTGTGAAGTTCTGAAATAGTTTGTCATGGTTGTGCAATATTATAGCTAAAAGATTAATATCCGACATAAATGGTATTTTTAAAACTATGTCTATTAGTTTTCGAACATATAATTGTCCTTAACACGGCCATAAAGCAAAAGAGTTTTGGAAATATCAACAATGAGGGATTGCTAATGTTACTTCTATTTTGTGAATTAAGTTTTCATGTTACCAACTTTCTCACTTTAAACAGAATATCTACAAAATATGGCCCCATTTAATAGTGCACGAAAGAATAAAAAAGGGCGTATATCCTTCTAGTATCACCTTTTTTGTTTACTGCAGAATAAACTACAGACCTACAAATATATGAGCAACTAGACATCACGTACGCCATTCCAAATATCTTTCAAATGTGTGCTAGACTTTCACGATTTCATCAACCGGATTAGCATACTCATCTATCCCAACTTATGACTCATGAACTATTGTCCAATTCCGCTGGAAAAAAATATCTTTAAGAAAGATAAAAAGGAATAGTACAGATAAGACGTAGGGCCTACTCTTTTACTTCTCAATATTACTTTTTTCCTTTTCTTTTCATTCTAGAAAAAAAAAAAGATAAGAAACATTTTACTACTCATGATCCCTACATGATCTGCATTTACATTCACTATAAATTACTCTCATCTCAGTAACTATAAACGGGATACTCAAATTTGGTTAGAGCATACAATAACTCCAGTTTGAACCAGCCACCGGCAAGACTCCTGAAAAATTGAATCTCATTTCAAGGGATCAAATTTCGATTTGAACAGCTCACAGAGTCACTTTGATATACATGAACATACTCAAAGAATATTGGACCATTTGAATGGAGTAACCTGTCTATCTTCATTTCTTTTGCATCCATTACTTGCTTCATGAATGAGATAACCGAGTTCTTGTCAGTTCCTGGATTCTTCTTGCCCTGCCAATAACCACAAAATGCATATTACATGGTGTATCATCCTCTAGTGAATACACATCAATGCAATACAGATGAAATAAACTTGAAACCAAGCAACTAACTTGAGCGAGACCGTCTATGTGCTGGTTTGTCTACAAGAGTTTCATGTGATTAATTGTTAATTTCATGATAGCATAAGCTAAACTAAGAAAGTAATTACACAGTGAGATAGCAGTAAGCATTTTAAAACTTCTCACACAACTCTACTGACAGCAATCATTGACAGAAAAAGATATCCAAAACATATTGAGCTGTTCTAAAGATCCTTACCCAACCAAAAGCAAATGGAAGGTTGTTTCCAGTTCCCAAAGGCACAGTAGCAATTGGTGGTGGCTGAGATAGTTTGAGATCAGATACAACTCCAAGAAGCCAGCCAGCTGTGCCATCTCCACCTGCAACCTAATAAACAATTGTGTCAGTGCTATATACTACAAAGTAATCATCTGGTAAATACTGATCCATCACCATTGCTTAGAAATAAGAAACTACTTAAAAGAAACTCTTTAGAAATAATAAACTACTTAAAAGAGTTGTACTCACAATTATCCTCAGTCTCTCCTCAAGTTTGGTGGCAAATTCATCACCATTGTTCTTTAGCTTTTCTAGATTCAAATACAGTCTCCGTAAAACACTATCAGGGGTTTCTTCTCCCAAATCAAAAACCTGAAAAGTTAGATGCAACTATATGAGAGATCTGCTTAAAACCATGAAATGAGAACTGAAAGAACAGAAAAGACAAAATGATATAAGAGAGCCATACTACTTATATATCAGGCTTAAAAAGAAACAGAGAAGTGGTGTTTCTAAATTCTACACCCCATTAAAATATGGTGGTACTGTTCACAACCTGACCAAAAGTTCTATGACTTTTCAATTGAGAATTGGTAAAAGATGACTCAAAACAGAATTTATTTCAATTTCTCTCACACACTTTACATTCAACAAGCTTTGGTATGTGAATCAAGGCAACCGGCTTCAATACCTGATATTTGTTAAGAAGTGATCGATATGTATGAAGAAGATCTCCACCAAGTTGACCTCCACTTTTAGAGTTGATGAATACTAGCACAGGGCATGTAGGTACATCAGGCAACTGTAAATCTTCACTCTGACTTGCATCCGGTGCAAGTATATAGGTAGGAATATAGAACTCTCTCTCTAGGTTTCCGTTGGAGTTGCTTTCGGGAGAGGCCATAAATAATGTTACCTGCAGACCAAGAGGAGTTGGCGTAACCAAATTTAGGATAAGAAGAAACCACCGCGCCAGTTCATTTACATGAATATGCTACTTGTTATATGTACAGTCAATCAAACAATTAATCAATTATCCCTCAATTTCAAATTAGTTAAACTCGGCTATATGAATCCTCTATATCCATGTTTTCTTCAATGGCGGTGTTCGGGTCACCTTTTGTGCAACTCTACTCATCCACCCGTCAGCCTGCTAAAACTCACAAGAGTAGCTGCCAGGTAAACTTGCATATCAAGGTAGGACTAGGTGGGCTCATACTAAGTATTGTAGGTAGAATTCGAACTTGAGATCTCTAGGTTATTAATCCTACATTTCAATTACTCAGTCATCTGCCATCCCCTTAGGCATATGAATCCTCCATTTCATAGTTTTAACTATTTTACGTGGTAATTAACTTACTACAACTCTCCTCCTTAATCAGGGATTCAAAAGGGCTATCTTTTTCACATAGGTGGAGACGCGGAGTTATATAAAAGAAAAAAATGATAAAAATGAAGAAACGATAGCTAGGGAATGAAGTCATTGAACGTATAGAATTAGGGTATTCACTTTGCGTAAAACTCATAATAGGACATTTAATAACACATATTGCGTAGAAGATGTTAAGAATGGATAGTTAACCTAACTCAACTCCAAAAGGTAGCCGAAGTGGCGAGAATTGTCCAAACCACATAAAGAGAATACAATCCATACCCTCAACCAATGAAGGACTCTAATACCTATCACATGCTCCGGGCTAGATATCTGGAGCATGGATGATATATCATGGAGCCCAACATTGCCGCATTAGGTAACCCAACATCAGGATGAATCTAGCGTTTTCGCTCTAATAATATGTTATGAAAACTGACTTTGAACCTAATTCAAACCTAAAGCTGCCTCAAGCAGTGAGGATTTCCCAAGAGCATATAACGAGACTACAATCAATACTCTCAAATAATACGGGATACCAGAAGACACTGAATTTTCATATCCAATAGGCCAACATTTCCTTCCAATATTCAAGAAATAAAGAGTGACACATACAAAAGTAGGCACTCATTTGGCTAGCTAAAAAGCCGAAAAACAACAACATTTTCAGGAGGAGATCAAGTAATTACATCTTAATATGCAATTTAAATAATAAACAACGATAACGAGGAATGCAAATAGATTGATCACGCGAAATTGATGAAATTAAAACTTGCTTTTGATTCCAGTCATACTAAAATAAATAATAGATAAAAAAAGCAAAGCGAATGATTTTGGTTGAGAAATAGGGAGCGAAGAGAGAATTTTACCTGAGAAAACAGAGGATTATTTGATTGAGAAATTCCAGCGGAATCAGAATATGCAACAATTTTTGGGAGGAGAATTGACTTAACTCGGATCTAAAATTAGCCAATGAGAATGAGAATTAAATCAATTAATAGAGGCGTGATACAGACAT